CTTAATTTATTGCATTTTCTGCTTGCTTTACACTGCCAGTTTCTCTGTAAAGTTCCAGACCCACCAATAATAGAGTTTAAATCATGAAACTTGGGCATTTTAACAAATCCTTGTTCAAATCAAATGTAACTATTAGTTTGAAACAGCCTCAGGAACTACCCCCAGTAAGCCTGACCTTTCAACCTACAACCAGACCAGCCAAGTTTATAGTGTCTTGAGGTCAGATCTCCTATTTCACATGACTTCAGGGGTTTTAAAACCACACTGTGTTGAAGAAAATCTCAGCGAATTTTGTGATAAGTAAACTTTGCACTCCTGCTGTCCATGGAGACATAGCAACATGATTCTAATGAATTGTGGTGGCACAATATACAGAGGAAAAATTCATAAAAGATAGGAAAGGAGATTAAAAGAAGGAGGAAAATAGCCTGAGACATACTAACCTGTAGTGAGAGCAGTGGGTTACTTACTTTTTTCTCCCCCGCAAGTGACTTGAAACTCAGGATTGCAACTTTGTCACAACGATTTGAAACCTCTCAAAGGGATTTATAGTTTCAGCCTTTAAATTGAGGATTTTCTTGGGCTAATGCTGAATATTCCTTAGTTCTTTGGAGGTCATATGTTGTGAACTATTTCCTCATGTAATCTGCCTGCTCCCTAATAGAGTCAAAATATAATTTGACTACTTCCAAACATTATTAAGGAAGACCCCAACTCTACACTTGAGGTGCATTTATTTGACTTTTAAAAAAAGTCAGTTTCCTAGTTTCCATCTGACATTAGAACTAAAAAAAGTGAATGGCATATGACAGTATATAAATCATGCATCAATAACAAGTGAACAATATTATTTAAAGAGCTTTTAGTTCTTACACGTTTGTAGGATTGGAGGGGAGGTTTTCTTGGGTTGCCTTTTTTGGAAGATTATCCAGGTCATGTATAGATATTGCCTGAAGCTTATGAAAAGCTTTATGTTTTGCTTTTCTTCTCTAGTTTTTGTTGTGCATTTAAAGAATCAGATTAATTTTTGATGAATGCCTGGATTCCTGAAGTGAGATTTATTCCTGAAGGGGGGAAGCACATTTTGAAAACTGGGGAAAGAGTCACTTAACATGCTTGTCTCCTGTTATTGCAGTTCCTACTCTAGAGTTCTACAATCCAAACCTAAAAAGCTAGTTCAAACCAGTATAGATTAGTATATTTATACATATTCACTGAAATTTGCACTTAACTGCAATACAACTCTTCAGGCTTTTAAAACAGTTTCAGCAAAGAAAATTAGGCCATATATAAGAATCTAGGATATATTTCATATAATCCTGTTACACTTTCAGAGTTTTAAAGCATTCTTTTCCTTTGGGACAACAGGACCAACATTTTGCTATTCTGTATACATTCTGAAAGTACTGCTCTTCCTACCACAATTTACCATAGAAGCAGACTCCAAAATTATTTTCTATTTATGAAGAAAGGCAAACCACAGTGTATTTGAATTTAACTTACCTGGGCCAAGTGGAACTGGTTCCTTAGTGGTCAAGCAATATGCATATCCTAAAATAGACAGTATACAATCTCACTGCATAAATATATTTATTGTTTTCCTTTTTGGTTTTAGCACATTAAAAATTGTTTCCTTTTGCAGCTGTGATTGTATAACTTATCTGTTTGTAGTAGAGATAAAATTTCACTAAATTGAAGAAAGCTGTCCAAAATGTTGATTTAGTGAAAGACTAATTGCTTTACAAATTGTTTCAAAATGTAACATAACAGTAGGAAAGAAATAATAATCAATATGCATGCACAAAGGTAGGAAAAAATAACAATCAATATGTTTATTACATCAAAGACTGAAAAAAGAAGCCAGCAACAAAGTGTTTATAAAAAGAGAAACATTATATCTAGCTACATGTGGAATGTTGCTGCTGCAGCACTATATTAAACATAGGAGTGATAATGAAATTGCTCACTAATTGAACTTTTTCAGTTGGAAAATGTCTGCTTTAGTCCAGAAGTTTGTTTTCCTTCATGCAGAAAACTAGATGCAGAGTATATCAGTCCTTTTGCTTCGGAGAACCCTCAATTGCTACAGATGCTTCCTGTCCATACATAAATACAATCATGATGTGAAAGCATGCTTTCCTAAACAGCCTTTGCTCTGGACTGACAACTGTTCTTGTGAAACTTGTTTTTTGTGGCCACAGACAGGACTCTGCAAAAAGTTGTCTATTGTGATTGACAGGCTCACCATCTTACACTGTATCTCAATAAATATCTTATGTACTTGTGGAGTAAATAACTGCACCATCCAATTCTTAAATCAGAAAGAGGGTTTTTTCTTTAAAGGGCAGTACTCTAGAGGGATTTATGCAGATGACATCATGATTGTAACAACACATTATTCAAGACAATAGCATACATTTTAACTTTGAAACTGATGAATCAGGGAGATGTGAGAATATGAGAAAATAAGCACACTTTTAATGCAAGCATACTGTGCAGC